CGCTGCCGCGCGGCGTCCGTACGTCGCACGTGCACGCGTCCACGACAGCGAGTACCGCGCGCGGATATCCGTGGGAGTATCGATTCGTTTGAGAAACGCAGGAGGAACGTACAACAAAGAGAGAAAGAGAAAGATTTCGCATATACTCGTTCTGCGTTTCGCGTGCGGTAGCGCGGCCGCTCTGCGCGGCGTCGCGTCGCGTCGCGTCGCGTCGCGTTGCGTTGCGTTGCGACGCGCGACGCCTCGGCGACACGCAATTTCACATTCGCGCCCGTCGACAGTAGGCGAGACGGAGGAGGAGATCGGAGTATATCGGAGTAGGAGTATAGACAACGGCGGCGGCGGTGGCGGCGTCACCACACGCGCGTACAGGGCCCTAACGAACTCGTGTGTTGTAACAACGAGCGTCGACGCCGCGTCACGGCGGTGTGGCCGCGCGATAACGCACACGAGAGAGGGACGCACAGTGACGGCCGGCGACGCCGTAATACGCAGCAACGTCACGTCCCCGATGGTGAGTGAGTCTGTGAATCGGCGCCGACGTCACGCGCGCGCCGCGCGGCGCGCGTCACAGCGAGTAAACGCGCTCTCCGCTCATTCTCCGCTCATTTACGCTCGAGAATCTCGTGATGAACAGCGGCGACGGCAAAGACGCCGATGATTTTGCTCAATCGAATTCTCGGAAAGGTCATGCGTAGGACTTTCATTTCTGATTTTGCGAGGTCATCGTCCTCTCTCCTTCTCTCACCTATTTGTCACGAGTTTATTTCCGTTTTTTTCCTTTTTATTTATTGTTTTCGTATTCATTGTTGTTTCTCCGCGCCACGTTCGCCTTGTCTATTTCATAACCTTGATGTTTCCATTCGTTTTCCGTCTCCTTTCTACTCGAGGCGGCGGAAGATGCGAGCACGACGGAAGGCGAAAATCGTGACGCGAATGCGGAGCACGCAGTATGAGAAACGACTTTATTCGTTCGCGAAATCCCTTCTCCCGATAACAAGGATCGATGCATTTCTTCATGTACGATTTATCGTTTTTTAACGACGTGGAAGTTACATCTGTCCAGGTCTCGTTGAAAATGAAATTTGCGGAGATCAAAGTTTACCGATAATCAGTCGACGATCTGTCGCGACTCAATTTCCGTTAATTTTCGGATTAATCAGTAAACCGATTGTGCGAAAGAATGTAAAACGCGGATATCGAGAATGGATATTCGGGCGATGGATTTTACGCTGATATTATGCAATCGGGTGTAATACCTTAGTGGTATTATACGCGTTCATAAAACAGATTTATTTGATATTTACGATTTCTTTTTGCAATTTATGTTCTTTGTTTTAGAAGGAGTACTACCTTTTTCCTCTCTTTCTATTTTCTGTAATTATTTGCTTTAGAATTAAAGGCAGTTCCTTTTTTCTAAACTATTGATTATTCAAGCCTCTTACGCCAAATTGTATTCTTTATCCGTATTACATCCTACTGCACGACGTAAAATTCCCTGGAAATTAATGGAATTCCCTGCACGGCTCGATTTTTATGTGTTACATTTTGTTATTTTTCAAATATACTACTCAATCCAATCCTTGGCTAGTAATCGATCGGAATTCTCGGAGTTCTCACGCGACTTCTCTATATACCCGCCATTTGTAACACAACTATGACATTTACGTGTTGCAATCGTTAAATCAGTGATTTCAAGAGCGCACGTGTTCTTTGCGAACCATGCTAGATTGATAATTAATTTTCAAACTATAAAATTAACAATTGCCTATATTATACTTACGAGGATCCAAGAATATATTCTGCAAAGTCATGTTAAGAGAAATTTGCATTGAAGATTTTTTTAGTATTATATAATATATGTGTTTTTAATATTATATAAATATATAAAGTTTCAGAGATTTAACAAACTTTCTTTCATCTTCAAGTCATAGTTTCACGAATCTAAGCTCGGTTTCCTTAATAAAAGTCGAGAGACAAGTTTAATATTCGTACGTCATACCTACGCCGTTTTGGAATACTGCCAACTTAACAATTAATAATGCAGGCATTGTCAGCAACGTTAATAGTAATTTACATTGCTATGTTAAATCGATTTCTCAACAAAATATTTAAGTCTCCAAATCAGGATAAAAATAATCAGAAAAAAATTTTTTAATATTGAAAGTTAGGGAAAATTATGGGAAGAATTATGGAATTACTTATGGAATTTTAGGATGAAAAATTTGTAATAACCGGATCTGTAGTTAAATAATATGATTTTGGTGTCTGTTTAATGATGGGGAAACGTTCTTCTATTTTAACCGTTTGTAAAATTTATTGCATGCCAAATCGATTCGAGATTAATCAAAGCATCAGTAATAGATAGATGAAGGATAGCTCGAGATGAAAGATAGCTCCAGGTAGGAAGTCTTCCCTATAATGCTTCCCGAATAATCGCTTCTCTCGACAGACGATGTCATCATACCGGTCGTCAAAATCAAGGGCAAAGTCGATTGTACACGCGTGTGATTGAGAAATCACAAGGGAAACCTTCTCCGATCTATTTTCAAGCGTCGATCAGAAATCTGTCTTGTGTACGCGATTGCTTGATTACTTACTGTACAAGAGTTGAATTACGTCAGTGTCGTATAATACACGTCGAGATCGAGCGGAGTTGAATGCACGAGATATTTTTGGAGTGTCGCCTAGTCGAAATTGATCAATTTCCCGAGTTGTTACGGAGCAGACATCCTCGTGTCATCGTTAAATGACACTCGACTTGTCGGAATACGGTGTCTCGTTTCAAACGTGAATGCGATTATGTAAAATTATATGAATAAACGTTCCCGTAATGACATTTGAGAATTGCAAAGCGAAAGTAAATACTTGGAAATTTCAAAGCGAATCAATTGACATCCGATATATCTGGATTTTGTCATTAATGTCCACCTGTGTAATCAGGAATTATTTTCCATTTATAATAAATCGACAAATAAATTAGATCGCGAAATAACGTGGATAAATTAAAATAATTTTTTTAACTTGTGGTCACAAATAAATCAGTATGTTTATAGCCTTCTTTACTTTACGTGCTCGTTTGTACCAATGTAATTTAGGCTGCTTTCTTTATAGAGAACACACTTGACGTCATTCGATCCTTCTTAGCATTCATTGAATAACAAAGATAGAATGGTATATCTACTTGTGTATATCTAATTTTGTACCGCCTAAAAGGAAAGCAGCCTTAATTTTAATCTTGGTTCCACTAACTCTTCATCTTTTTCCTCGTCTTTTTCTACTTCTAAAAATTAGAAAAAGATGAAGAGCGAGTTAAACCGAGATTAAAGTTAATCTACATTGGTAGAAAAGTACATAAGACATAAATTAAAGAAAGTTTTAAAACGTAGTCGTACACGTTGCTCAATGTTTTGCAGAGATCGCGTGACAAGTCGACGTTGTCCGTCGTGTTCGCCTGCTCTTATGCGACTCATGTAACTTGCCCGGATTCTTATCTTGACTTGTTTTCTCAACAACGTGAACAACTAAACGTAAATATGTAAAGGATGCGTTTACGAAAAATTTAATCGATATAAAACTAGGTATGTTCGGGAAACATACTCCCACGCCAGTGACGGCGATCAATAACATTCTCGGCGTTCTTTGTGCTCCATTTTTTCGAGATTGGACCTTTTATTATCTCAAGTAAGTTTCCTTGTACCTCGTTTTGTCACGCCATCGATCGACTCGTGAAGATGTGGATAATAATAAAGATATCGAGACGTCAAAGATGAAAAATCGATCTCTCTGGATTTTATTTTGATGACACATACATATTATAATTATCTGTCTGTCATCTGTTATCATTTATAATTGAGGATGAAGTTTTTTTACGACTTCATCTTTCATGACAGGCTATCTGTGAATATAAAATCTGCTTCGTAGAAAGATGATACAACTAATATAGTCACTTACAAGAGTAACATTATTATATAATATAAAGTCACGGAAAACCCATTTCCGTTTCGTAAAAGGTTTTGATGCAGATTCTTCTATTTCGCGCGGAAAGATCGAGGGTGAATTACGATTGATTGAAGGTTCGGCATGCAATGACGGATTATATCGATTCAATAACGACACTATTATTATCCGATCGAATTCCGTGTATATTCGTAGAATATTACTTGCTACTGTGACATTATATCATCTCGTCGAGCATGTGAGTGTCAGGGTCGGACTTGATATCACGGTGAGCTAAAGACTAAGGAAAAAAGTACGTTCTTCAATAATTAACAGCGAAGTTAATTATTAATCTACTAACTAAATTAATCTACTAAAAAACATACGAAAGTTTCGGATATTTATTTTAGTAATTAATTGTTTATTCTCATCTTCATAATTATGCCTGATATTGCTGAAACTATTCTCTTTAGATACGTAACAGATTTGGAAAATTGTTTTAATATTTTTAACTTGTAACTGAAATATATGAGTGACTCTGGGACTTTTTATAATTTTTAAATTGTAATTATTTGCGATAAGTTTGTTTCACAATCTTATTTTTCACAATTTTGAACTTGAAAAATTTTTAGAAACATAAAACTGATAACAAAAACTTTAGCCGATCCCAAGAATCCATATCGTTCTCTTATTTAAAAAATGACAATTAAAAAAAATGTGATTTTTCGGATTATTATTATTATCAGTAAATTAGGTAAAGATTACTCTATTAATCATAAAAATAAACTAACTTAATTTTACAACGTTTTTGTCCGCTAAATAATACTTGTGTCATTCTTGATGTTTTTAAAGAGATAATTCATTTTATAAGAATGACATATAAAAGGTAAAATATTTTGAATTGTGTTATTTTTGTAAAAAAAGAAAGTCTTCTACAGAGAACATTTAGAGTTAAGACAGTTTTGATGATCAGTTTGAAGAAGAAATTGTTTTATTTTTAATTTAATCATTTTAGTTAATGAAGA